ATACCTTTTTTCACCTAACAATTYTTTAAACGAGAAAGGTTTGCTCAAAGTCTCGTGTATAAACGGCATTGTTTGTTTTTTTTAGGAATAGCTGATCAAGTACGATGGATCCAGGTCTAGCTATTCTTCTCAGACAAATACAGTACCATCTGTATGTGTTGAGAGTTGATTGGTGGAAGATGCCGGTTCTGCTTGTCATGGCTTACACTTTATATCAAAGGGATCGCCTTATGGACAATAATCTGTTTGACTCCTACCCTGATACTCTCCCAAAAATAAAACAGAAATGCAACGATCCTATCCTAGGTAAGCTAATAATACGACAAACATTTATCGAACCTTGCCTCTGGGCTGATTTAAGTCAGGGCATGACTAACTCACAGATCAAACCCTGAAACAACCTCTGGGCTGATCTAAGTCAGGGCATGACTAACTCACAGATCGAACCCTGAAACAACCTCTGGGCTGATCTAAGTCAGGGCATGACTAACTCACAGGTCAAACCCTGAAACAACCTCTGGGCTGATCTAAGTCAGGGCACGGCTAACTCACAGATCGATCCCAGAAACAACCTCTGGGCTGATCTATGTCAGGGCATGGCTAACTAATAGATCGAACCCTGAAACAACCTCTGGGCTGATCTAAGTCAGGGCATGCCTAACTCACAGATCGAATATAAATTTGGCGTGATAAGCCAAGGATAGAAAACCGGTGAAAAACCCTCGATTAAAAGTAGAGATGATGTCGATCGCAATAGTTTAAATGGCGTGAAAATACAAAAGAAAACACACTTTCTCTCGAAGAAATTTGTGGCATTTCTTTCGTATTTTGTCTTTTGTGATGTCGAGTGCAGGAATCTAGCCCGAGATCCCAGAGGTTAGAATGGACTATTCTTGAAAGTATCCTATGCGCGGCTAAAATATAAATACAAACGAAAGTAGAGTTTTTTGTCGGTGTTATTTGTGGCACTTTTTTTTAAACTAAACATATTTATTCTCTGCATTTTCTCCAAGAGCTTAAAGCTCATCTAGGAAGATTACACGTGTGGCATTTCTTTTGTACTAGTCGCACGTTAAGTGCACTACCCATTTCAAAGTCTAGTATGTTTTTTTTCCTCAGGCACTGGATATATCGGTTGTTACAAAAAGGGAGAGATGGTCAAGGCCGGTTTTATCAACGTGTACAAAAGTTCCTCTATGACTCCTGAGATGTGTGTAACAAAATGCAAAGATTCTGGCTTTCCGTATGCTGCTATTTTCGAAGGAAACTCGTAAGTACTACCATCGATGTTTGCATGTAAAAACAGATTATTATCATCAAATCTAAAGCTGAATAAGCTCAATGAGCATGGCTACAACACGAGGCATGGAAACGAGTTTCGCTTACCACGACCCAAAACTAACTGGGGAAAACAAACAATGCAGTATCAAGCCATGAAAGAATGGAACAATCTGAGTGACACACTTAAACAATGTTCTAAGATAAGCCATTTTAAATCGAATTTCTTTTAAACCTGTAAACCTAAATAATTTGAACTTTTCATCTTTTAGGCATTTTTACATGCTAGTAATAATGATGTTGACTTTTCATTAATTTTCTTTTTACATATTATTGTCAAAATATCTTATTTATTAGGACCGTCTCGAAAATCACATTTATAAGTGAAGAAGCTTCCTGTTAAAATATGAATGTAAATTAAAAAGAGTTATCAAACATAGGTCGTCGTAATACCAATGAAGATCGTTAGAACGAGGATTGTGATTGGTTATAATAGCA